GATTTTGAAATTTGGAAGAATAGGGGCGCCCGGGTGGCTCACTTGGTTAAGCAGCCGACTTCAGCTCAGGTCATGATCTCTCAGTCTGTGAGTTCCAGCCCCGCGTCAGGCTCTGTGCTGACAGGTCAGAGCCTGGAGCCCGTTTCAGATTCTGTGTCTCCCTCCCTCTGACCCTCCCCCGTTCATGCTCTGTCTCTCTCTGTCTCAAAAATAAATAAACGTTAAAAAAAAAAATTTTTTTTTTAAATGAAATTTGGAAGAATAAATTTGCCACTAGGCATAGAATACCAACTTATAAACAGTGCATAATTTCCTTTTACTCTCTATTTTTGTATACTTGCCACGTCTCCCACAAAATGACAGACACACGGGATATACTGTCTTCTATTACTCCATGAGCATTTTCACACATTTCTACCTCTAGTCTTCAAAAGCATGATTAATGGCTGCACTATCATATACTTACAGTATAACATAACCAATCTCCACTGCTGTACATTTAGGTGGTTTCTAGTTTTTTGCTAGTTAGCCTCTTTATACAGACACCTGTATGATTATGTCAAATTCTCATTGTGAAATCAGCAGGTTAAGTATGATCAGCATTACCTTTTACACATCCTCAAGTTGCTTTCTAGAACCATTATACCTATTCATTTATATTCTAACAACACTGTAACAGAGAACATCTAGGTCACTGCAATGTTGACAAAATAGAGTTGAATACACTTTATTAAACTGAAGGGTCAAAATTATTTGTTTTAAATTTGACTTTCTCTGATGAGTACCAACACATACTTTCCCAGTCTGCTAACCATTTGTATTTTGTGTAAAGAGCACTTGTTTGTATTCTTTGCCCATTTTTTCTATTCAGGTGCTGAACTACATAGATTATTTTGTCCCAAGTTGAACAAAGATTCCTGACCAGACACATCTAACATGTGCCAAAATTTACTGGCTTTAAAAAAAAAAAAAAAAAAAAAAAAAAAAAATGGTAAAATGAAACCTATCTGAGAACCATATACACCTAAATAACTAAAGGTCCCCAAATTAGTCTTTGGACAAAAAAAACTACTTTATCTTTCTTGTCCCTTTGCCCATTCCATGTTGTCTTTTTTTTTTTTTTTCCTCAGAATAAAATTTATTTAAAAAAGATTTCCATCCTGTTTTAGATTTGTCTATTCACTCCATGTTGTTTTATTTCAATATGGAAATTTGACCAAATCAAATCTGCATACTAATTTAATGGCTTTAAGCAGAAACTTAGAATGAAAGTTGGGGAACTTTTAATGAAGAAACTGATTAGGCTTACTTTAAGAGGGTGATAGTTTACAAAGCCAAGAGGATTCTACCATGAGCCTCAGAAACTACAAAGTTTCCCCACCCAAATATAGCTTAATCCTGCATGTTAAAAATATATAACTCAGGGCACCTGGGTGGCTCAGTCGGTTGGGCGTCCGACTTCGGCTCAGGTCATGATCTCACATTCTGTGAGTTCAAGCCCCACATCGGGCTCTGGGCTGACAGCTCAGAGCCTGAAGTCTTCTTCGG